CTCTCCAATAGATAAAATCTCATCTTCATCACTTCCCTGAATGATGCTATCGCTAACAATCAGGCAGTTTTCAGCTCCCAATATAGTCGGCGGCAGACTACATTTTCCAGAGCTTTCTCCTAGTGTCAACAAGGGAACCCTACCAACGCCAACTTTCATACCGTTGCTATTTCCATTCCAACTGGTATTTGACTCAGCATGCAGCAAAGATGCAGGATCTGAAAGTAAGCTAGCTGTGTCAGTCACTAATTTGAGCCTTGTGATTTCTACATGCTTTGAAATTGCAGGGTTATCACAGATAGAGCTGCTTAAGCTGAGTGTAACAGCAACAGCTGGAGACATCTCTTCCATTAATTCTTTCTAGTGAAAACAATATGCAATTGAGTCAACCGCGTTAGTCCGTGCAGCACTACCAGCAACAAATTGTTCCAAGCTTTATGTTTCACAGAGTAGGACTGCTTTAGAAGGGAATTCACAAGTGCGGTAAAATAGCAAAATTGAATCCACAATGAAATGAGGTAGGAATCCACAAAAATGGGCAAGACAGCTAAATTACAAGCACAAGGAGAATGAGGTAGGAATACACAAAAAATGGGGAGAGACAAAAATTGAATGAGGCAAGAAAATCTCAGTTAACAGCTCACTACAAGAAGTAAAGGTTACACTACCAACATCAAACAATAGGTGGAACAAGCTCCAGATAAGTGAGACAAACAAGGGTGTGAAGGAGATCTGCTACTATAAACAGATCCAAACTTCTATAGATGGCAAGTTCTAGACTGAGAAGACTTAGGGGGTCCTTTCTTGTACCGAAAACTAAAATATCATGCAATTATCTTTCTTCAAAAGAAGAAACAAGACTAAGTAGAGCAAATCCTAGCTCCACCACCACCAACCCTTAAATACACAAGAAAATGGGGAAAACGACAAAATCAAACCCTTATCCATGAATTCAAGAAGAGAAAGCGAAAGAATCATGGAAAAGAACCTAGTAAGGAGAAGAAAACAGACAACTAATCAAGAATCACAAGAAACCCTAAAAAGATACAACCTTTTTGCCACATGTAACTTGGGTTTCATGGATCTGAGGCAACTCATGTCCACCTCTCAAAATACAAGTCATTTACTAAATATACTCTCCTTCCTCCAACCCAACAGATAAAAATTGAATCTTTAAGCAACAAACCATTCAAGAACATAAAAAAAAAACAGTCCTATTTACAATAAATTCAACTAAAACAGTAATAATTAAGCTTACCAACAAAAACCCTTTTACCAAAACACCTTGCAGACTCTCCTCTACAGCCCCTTTTCAAGATTTTTTTTTTTTTCTTTGTGAGACACATGAGAGAGAAAATACAACTTGGGATGTAGAAAAGATTTTACCTTTGATGCACTGACTCCTTAGGAAGACACGTGTAGATTCAATTATCTAACTCCAATCAATGCTAGCAGACAGAGAAATGCTTTGAATTGTTTTGTGCTTACCCTTAATTACAAAAAAACAAAAGGGAGTTCATGGACTTTCCATGAGGACCATTTTCAAGAACAACACGTGTCCTTTCTTGGCAGGTCAGCCATTACCTAAATAATGTCTCCATTATTTTTTCTCTGAATTATCATGTGTTTACTACTCATCTACGTCTGTTCTTGCCTTTGCATTTCCACTTTTATTGCTCAAAAAAATTAGGTATTTTGGGGTTGTATGTTGCTTTCAACTATCTTTCAACTCTTTATTATTTGACACATTGCATTTACTCCTTTTTTCTTTTTTTCCTCAAACAAGAAATTGTTTTGTTAAATATCTTGTTTCTTTATTAGAATTCGATTAAATTTGAGCTCTTTGATTAAAAATAAAATAAAATTATTCCATCATAATTTTTACTATTTCATTCGTTTTAATTTGTTTGACTTATTTTGATTTGATACAAAATTGAAGAAAGTTAATATTATTCATAAATCTTGTGTTCCTACATATGAATCAAATGTACCAAAATGAATCTTTCGGAAACAGCATCTCCATGAGATAGTAATAAGGTTTGCATACACTTTATCTTTCTCAGACCCTACTTGGAATTTTTAGTAGATATGTTGTTGTTATTATTAAATGTGGCAAATGTTTTTAATTTGTTATTTAAAACATGTCAAATAAACAATTAAAACTAAGGAATTGTTAAAAAAAGAGTCATTCTTTTCTAAACATTAAAAAAAAATGGGTTAAACAAATTAAATCGAAGGAATATTATTTTTCTTTGGTACATTTCACACAAGATTGATGTTTTTACCTTTTTAGTGCAAATTTATGCCAACTATGTATGTTGTAAGGCCAACTTTGTGCACTTCGTCATGCATTACATAATGATGCAATAAAATATGTTTGTCTATATGTACATTGATGGACAATAGCTAAACTTGGAAAGTTTGGGATTTGGAATATTCGAAATAATATTTGAAAAATTATTCTACATAAGTTTTTATTTGGTAAATTGATTCATTGTTTCAACTTTAATCTTGAAATATAAAGTTTGAAGTCTGAAAAATAGATTTTATAAGTTTTTATTACTTTTGTTCACATAAAAAATTTTATATCCAAGAATAAGTTAAATTTCCAAATATTTTCAATTATTACTCCTTCCATTTTTTGGTTAATCTCAACTAAATCATGTTCAAACCTTATGCTAAAAAGTCCTACATTATTATTTAGGAGTACTATTGTTTATTGAAAAAAAAAATATTTATAGTATTGACTATTGAGATATCATCAATCCTATCGATGTTGTTTCATGAGTCAAGACAATTATTTGAACTTGAATCAAATTAAGGTAATGCTTCCATGTGTCGAGCACTTATTAGTCCACTAATCAAGTTTGATTTTTATCCAATACAAATATATTTTTCCATGTATGATGGTAGAAATTTTATTAATCATGCTTCAAAGTTGGATATAAAAGTACAAAGAGATTCGTATAATTTACATTGAATTACTATAAAATGATTTTTATATTTTTTTTCCTTTTGTTTCATACTGTTTCACAACAAATAATTAAATATCCATCCACCCACGTATAAACCAATATCACAGTAAATGTAAAAATATTACTCCCTTTTTTCAATTTATTTTACTTTTATCTTTTAATCCGCCTCGATATAACTTTTTTGTTTTAAATCTTCGTATGATATATTTAAATTTATAAGATTCAATAACATTTTGATACATTTTATATATTTCTTAACTTCTTAAACTCCGTATCAAATTAAAATTAAATAAACGAGTAAAAATATAAGAGAGGAGGAGGAAGAGACAAGTCAGTATGGTGAAGTCAAGATATACACGTAATCGACTTCATTTTTTATATATAAAAAAAGAGAGTTCATAATTTTCTATGTTCTAGATTTTTCTTTTCTTAAAAAAAATAAGCAAAAAGGTTAACGTGTAAGAATTGAATTAATGGCTCTATATGATTGGCCAAAGAAAATAAAGATAAACTTTGAAAATAAAGAGAAATAACAAAAATATTATAAACATAACACGTCAAAGGTTACAATAAAAGAATTGATTACATAAAGAAAAAAAAGAGGCTATTTTTTTAAAGAATCCAATGGAAATGGTACAAGGAAGCAAAGAGTAGGTTTTACTTTGCTTGGCTCAATAAAGAATGGCTTTTGAATTAAAGATGGTAGGTCAATAACCAAGTTTGGTAGCACTGTTGTTTGATAGCTCAATTAATTAATTTATGTTAAAAATTCACTTTGAAAATAATATAGCTTTTACTAAAAGTAGTTTTATTTTTGAGATTTAAATTTGAGATATCTAATTAAGAATTGATCTGTTATTATAACTTTGTTGATGAGACAAAGTGGTATTAATTTTTTCTTTTACATGAGCTTTCACACCATTTGTTTACTTTTATAGATTAGGATCACCGCACTATTTGAGTGTTTGGGAACTTGATCAAATATAATTTTTTTAAATATTTGATTACTTTTAGAGGGTGAAAAGTACAGGATTAGTATTTTTCCTCAAAAGGGTAACATGATGGACTGTGGAATAAACGAAAGTATTTTTTCTAATTATTTAGTGTGTGTTTTTACTTGAGTACAAATTTACTTCAATAAACATGTAGATAGTATTTTCAACGTCGAAGAAAGTAGAACAAATAAATTGAAATGAGAAAGAATTACTCTACTCGGATAGTCTGAAAATAATAGGACTTAGCAGACCTTACTCCTTAGTCCTACCTTATATTTGTGGGACAGAAAAGCTATTTTCGAAAGACTTTTACTTTTTTAAGACAAAACATTTGACAAAATTAATTTTCATACCAACTTTCATTTAATCGTCTCCGTTCTTTTTCCGCCTCCCGTTTTATAGGAGTTATAGCCTAAAGGAGAAAATGAAACAAGATTTATATTGTTATGTAAAAGTATAGAAGATATAAAAACGTTGAATAATCTTCTAAATATATAGTACTTTATTGAATAATATCTCTCTCTAGCACTGCAAAGAGATACACTACATGAAAAAAATATCTAAATCAGGCAGTAATAGGCACAGAGAATCCTCTTGAATCATTGGGTGGTAGGTGTGTTTGGTATAATATAAGATATTTTTATATTTTCCACCAAGAGGAGAAAAATTACTTCTTGCTATTATGTATCGAAGTCATTTTCCTTCGTTAACCAACACTTCCACATTAATACCAAACTTAGTACTAAAATATTTCAACACATTATCCGGTTTGCAAACATGTTATCAATCTTTAATCAACTGTTTTTCTGGAAAATAGTTTTCACTCTCCAACCAAAAATCAGAAAACATTTTCCAGGAAAAATAATTTCAGTCGTACCAAATACACTCTTCATCACTGCTTCTAGACTTCAGATGCTAGCTTGCCAAGTATATCCTCCCAGGTTTACAAGCCTCATCAATGATGGCTGCTCTACAATACAAACTTCAGAGTTCAGGGTTTAGGATCCAGGGTACAAATGGCGTGCCATCGTCTAATTTTTGGGATTATCGACTATGAATCCACAATGGAAGAGGAGAAAAGAACTCGTAATCATGAACGACCAAATATGCCACGTATCCAGCGCCTAAGCATATGGAGTCAAGTAAGCACAATGTGTTTGAATTCTCAGGAGAGTCAAAATCAATAAGGCTTAAGTTAGTTTGAATTCTTAGTTTCAGAATACAAAAGTTTCAGGGGGTAGTAGTCTAGTAGAGCATTTAACAGAGCAAAAACATGTGAATATATCAATATACTGATACCAAAGAATTGCTTTTCTACGATCTGTTTATCTTACATTTCCTCCCTAAGTAGGTAGTCATGTCCAATATCTAACTTAATTTCAGTAGATGTTAATAGAACAAAGATCACTGCTATTGAAGTAAATGAGCCTATCCAGAAAAACAAATGACAACAAGGATGATCTCTACTTTGTTGATTAAAGAATTCATGTTCCCTTTTTAATAGATGATGATAGTACAGTCAGTCACAAATAAGTTATGATCAAGGGAAAGGAATCAAGAGAGATATACCGCTGCATGGTAATATTCCGAGAATGATTCGTAATTTCCTTGCAGTATGTGTTAATATCCACAATTGCAAAACCAGCGCTTTGAAACAAGGTTGACGTGTAAGTCTCGGAAAAGTAAAACGAACACTGAGACCATAATGACAGGATTTGATTAAAGTTGATATAAGAGTGTGTCATCATGTATAACCCAACAAACCCCGGAAAATACTTACAGTTCCATCTCCTCGGAAATAAAAGTTCTCACTAATCATCTGGTTTCTATCATGCAGTTTCACCTGAAACATTTGTAGTGTAAATTCCATGCCAAAAAATTACTTCCAGTTCCAGACTCGAAGAACAGTGAAGAAATACCTAATCTTAGCCTTCAGCAATTTATAAGATGAATGACTATACATATCCATTTTCTCTCTTTTAGACCCCTGGGAAAAGAAATTGTTTTTTTTTTCTTAGTAAGCGAGATCCCATTTCCCCCAACTGCAATTTCTTTCCACTTCTAACCCTGACCAGCAGAGTAGATCACGTGTCTTGTCTTATGTATTTCATATGTTCAACCTATTTCAAGTTAAGAATGTAACTCTGGTTTGAGAAAAGAAGAAGCTAGACATGGGGAACTCTCTTGCATCATCATTTATATATGAAGATTCAAAGGCTGCACATTCAGGGTTTTACCTGAGCAGAATCACCAACTGCATAATCTCGTAAAAGAATGTGACCATTTGGCTGCAAAATGAGATCGCAATAGCATGGTACACCCATTAAATTATCAAATAATAGAGAAAGAAAAAACAAAATGAGGTAAGACATCTCCATAGCTCATGTATTACCTTTAGTACTTGCTTACAGTTCTCCAGAATTGAAGCCATCTTGCATGGTGAAACTGCAGACAATGTAAAAATCTACTTAAAGGAGTTAGATGCTCATGTAGGCATATATTTTTCCCAAAGGAAGGAGATACGGTTTATTAGATTGCTCTTAGGTGAAACACTATGCTTTAAGCACTTAATACATATTCAGATTTGATGATTATTACTTACTCCCTTCACTTACCAAGGTTACAACATCAACAGTAAAAGGCACGACATTAGCACAGAGATCATCCTTTGCAGCATCACAGACAAAGACATTAATCTTTTCCGAACTGTAATTTGCATGTGACTGCATCATATATGATAAATAGACTTAGGAGTTTGCACGGGACTCCATCATATAGGATAAGTAGCTTTATGCCACAAGCATGTCATAGAAAAGAAAGGATTATACTCTTGAGTTTGTTGTACGTAGAGAACAAGCATAGTTCTTCTGATATATTACTTAAATGCAAATAACAGACTTGTCAAATGGAAGCTCACAAATTTGAAGAATAAAATTTGAAATTACAGTCATCGAGAGAACAATGTAGCCTGTAGGTGCTCAATGAGATCCTAAGCAGACTACAGTAAATGCAATGCAGGTGAAATACTGTAAACTTAAATGCAAATGACAAAGTGATAAATAAGAAATGAAATATTTTAAGATTGCTGATCTTAACCAATAGACTAATTTAATGGAAGCTAAAAGAATCAGAGAACAGAAACTGATATAGCAGCTAACCTAAGATAAAAGGACCGGCGTACTGACTGAGATCCCAACAAGATTACAGGCAATGCAACAGGCGTAAAGTAACCATAACACTAAAAATACTTTTACTACTGGTAATGATTTTAGAAATTTGCAGATAAAGGATCTCAAAGATATGAAAAATTCCTCTACACAAAAGAAGAACATTTAGATATGATCCATGCTAAACAACATAGAGTTCCATTAAGGACCTTCACTCTTTCAGCACTAAATTGTAGCAATTTTTCGGATGATGAGTCATCTCAAATCGAATTACTTTTCATACGACTCATACCATATTGGAAGGACTCCTTAGCCGTTAAACAGTGACAGAGCAAATACCAACAAATTCCCAAATACAATAACTTGTAGCCAAAAGCCAGGGGTAACACTGCGTACACACCACCCTCCCCAGATCGAACTTGTGAGATTACACTGTTGTTGTAGTATAACTTGTAGCTAAAAACTGATTCTTTACGTATATTTGTTCAACGTCTAGGGAATATTATGATTAAGTTAGGTTACTGTTGATGACATAATAACATAAGAAAGTTGACAAACCTTAACGAGGGTTACTGCTTTAGCTGAGAAATCACAGGCGTGAACATAGAGCTTCGGAAACGCAGCTATGAGAGGAAAAATCGTATTCCCCGCTCCACAACCCACCTGTCAATGTCTATTCAGTTGAACTTTTCAGGTAACTACTACTACAGTAAGATAATGAAATTACCTCTAAGACAACCTTCCCATTGGAAGATTCAATTTCATCATCAAAATATCTTCCCCAATCCTTCTCCAAGTAGTGTCGGTCCTTGAAAAACTGCCCAATGTGCAAATGTACGTCACTGAATTCAACAATATAAAAGAGCAGCCCGGTGCACTAAAGCTACCAGTATACACAGCCAGGGTCCAGGGAAAAACTGAACTACAAGATCTATGGTATGCAACCTTACCTTGCATTTCTGCAAGAGGCTGTTTACCTGGTCCCGATCACATTACAACAATTTTACCGGTTACTCGAGATAAAATCGAAGATTTGAATTTCTTTTTAAACTTGTTACCTTGTTTTTGTGGAGCTTGTAGAACTTATCCCAGTACTGTTCAGACCTTCTGCTGTAATGGTGGTTTTCACTCTGACTGTAAAATGAAGTCCGAAATCGAATACTCAAATATCTCCGGCTTACACGTGGCGCTGAAATACCTTCCCACTTCGCCGGCCACACCGTAACAGGAGGAGCACCGGCTGCATGCATTTTTACGCCACCCAAATCCCCCACGCATACGGTTGGTTGTTAGGAGATTTTGGATGAAGTAAGCTAAAACGACGACGTACACGGGAGACGGCAGTGAAAACGGCCACGTAGGACTGTCACAGCTGTCATTTAAACCTTAATAAATACTCCCTTAAGTATTTGGTTTGTCTAATTTCATCCTTTAAATATACAATTACACTTAAATTGGTAAATCCAAGTTATGTTTGGCCACTTTTTGTTTTCAACCAACAAAACATAAAAGAGAAAACTTAAAAATGAAATAATTTCAAGGGAAAAAAAAACTTTTTTGTTTTCTACGTTATCACATTATTCCCGTTTTAGTTCCTATGATATTCAATGAAGATGACTTGAATTAAGTACTAAGTAATATTTATGTTTTTGATCGTTCAACTAACAGAATTCAAATCCATTCAAAGATTGTTATATATATTAAGAAGACAAATTAAAATATTTAGATTTATATTGCATCAATTCCATCTTGAATTATATTAAACATGATGCATTAATCATTATATGTAGCAACATCTTTCATTTAGATGTAATCTTCTAGATGTCAAAAACTCACCCTGATATCAGAGGTGGGATTCGAAAATCGACTAGTCACTAAAATTGAACCGGTCAAAGTCCAAGTTATATGAACCGGTTCACCAAACTCTCGAATTAACACGCCGACCTAAACCGGTCCGATTTTTATTAATAATTAAACGCAGCCACATTCTGGAATAGTGTAATAATATACAAGAAAAAAGGAACCAATTTTTTCTCCTCTTGGGTTCTCTGCGATCGGGAAAATAGCAAAACCCTAGCTCAAAACCCTAGAACAAACCAGGAAGGAGCCCATGGCGTATCAACAACACCAATCACCTAATCACACCGGAGACAACGACGACGGAAAGAATCGCCGGCTCTATAACCCTTACCAAGACCTACAAGTTCCAATCAAAACACTTTACAAGCTTCCTACCTCGCCTGAGTTTCTGTTTCAGGAAGAATCTGTTGCTCAGCGTAGATCATGGGGAGAGAATTTAACTTACTACACTGGTATCGGTTATCTCTCTGGTGCTGTTGTCGGTGCCGGTAAAGGATTTGTTGAAGGTGTGAAAGCTTCAGAGCCAGGTGATACTACGAAGCTCAGGATCAATAGAATCCTGAATGCGTCGGGTCATACAGGCCGGAAGTTTGGAAATCGAGCTGGTGTTATTGGGTTGCTTTATGCTGGGATGGAGAGTGGAATGGTTGCTATTAGGGATACGGATGATGTTATCAACAGCGTGGTTGCTGGCTTGGGGACTGGTGCGTTCTACAGGGCGGCTTCGGGGCTAAGGTCAGCTGCCGTGGCTGGAGTTATTGGCGGCGTCGTTGTTGGCTTGGGGGTAACTGGAAAACAGGCGCTAAAACGATATGTACCGATCTAAGATTTGTGCTGGTTTGCTTTTGGATTTATGACCTCAATCTTGGTAGCTGTTATTTGTTTCAAAAATTTTGATAATACCTTGAGAAATTGTGTTCTCGCACTGCCCAGTAATGTAATTTGGCATGAAAGTTTCATGCTTTCTAGATATATTTTAACAATTTTATTGAATATATATTCTGAAACTAGGTTTAGAGGAGATTTTCTCTTGAATAAGGTTGAAAGAAACTGAATCTTGATATGATTGTTTCATTACTTATTTTGTCCATGTATGTGTTGACAGATTTATACAGATGATAGAATGTGTTTTCTCCATGTTTAGATCCTTTTTCTTGTGTTACTGTATTGAAGAGTGTGCTCTTGATGGCAAGCTCCAGCTAGTTGATGGAAATTAATTGTGGTTCTCATGAATAAAACTCTGCCAGTTATTAATCGCTTGTGTATGTATATGCTTTGTGAAGTATCTGTGGAAGGACTCGAGACACCAAGTTGCTGAATTTTCCCTGTTGTTTAAATGCTTCTGGCTGTCTCGTTTCCAGCTCTTTGTACTGCCATATGATGTTTGGGTAATTGCGCAAGGGCTTTGAGTTCCATACTGTTGATAAGCAATGGATGGAACTTTGAAATGATCCTGAGTTCCACCCCTTCTGATGGCATTTTTTTATTAATGATTGTTGTCAAGACTGCTTATCTATATCTATATATGCTAAGTAATAAGAAGACTAGTTTTGATTCGCTGTTTTATGGAGGAGCTGATTGTCATTTTGGAGGAAAAAAATATCATCTTTTCTTTCACTATACTGACCTCCATATTTCCATATTGTCTATATGTTTTTGGTTGTCTCAGATCCTGCTCTTTGTACTGCCACATGATGTTTGGGTAATTGCGCAAGGGCTTTGAGTTCCATGCCATTAATATCTAAAGGATGGAACTTTGAAATGATACTGAGTTTTCACCCCTTCTGATGGCAGTTTTTATCAATGATTGTTGTCAAGTGTCTGAATTTTATGTGCTAGTGCTGCTAAGGTTGTGTTAGACTTAGATATTTCTCTCTATATATACTAAAACGTTAAGTGTTAAGAAGAGTAGATTCTCTGTTTCATGGAGGAGCTCAATGACACTTTAGAGGAAAAAAATACCATCTTTCTTTCTCTTTACCTGCATATTTCCCTACTGTCTATATGTTTTTGGTTCTCTTTGTTTCGAGCTATTTGCACTGCCATATGATGTTTGGGTAATTGCGCAAGGGCTTTGAGTTTCATGCCTTGGATAAGCAAAGGATGGGACTTTGAAATGATTCTGAGTTTCACCCCTTCTGATGGCAGTTTTTATCGACAATTGTTGGTGTCTGAATTTCATGTGCTACTGCTGCTAAGATTGTGTTAGATTTCATTCTGAAAAAAAGATTGTGTTAGACTTTGGATATAAAAAAGATTGTGTTTAAGACTTGAAAATATACTTAAATAGGATAAAGAGGAAGAATGTGTTTGATACTGTTTTCTACTAAAACATTTATGTGTTTTATGGTTCTCTTATTTCCAGCTTGTGTTTGACTCCCGTTCCCTTGGTTTTTGTCTTTTTGGTATTTGAGGTTCTTTATCACAATACCACACCAAGTAGTTGCTCAAACACTTGCTCAACCATGCTTTATTTCCTCTCTTGCCAGATTCCACCCCTTCTCGTTTCCCCTCCCCCCAAGTCACAGAAACCCTCATATCACCACAACCTTGGTTGTCACCTTCTCTGGCTGTGACAGTAACCTATCACCGCCCCATTCTTAGTACTGCTCATTCAATCTCTCTCATGTAAAGGTCCTTGCTGTGTTCAAAGGGATACAAGGGACGGAAATTATCCTTGGGTTGGAGTCCTTAGTCTGCTGTCATTACCCTCTCAGATTCTGTTATGAAAATGCTATGAGAGTCCATGTATGTTCACACACCGTGTAGCATAAAAGAGAGCGCCAAAATGTTTAGCAGACTTAACACGATGAGATATTGGGGAGAAGAAACAAGCCCTTAGTACTTGCGACTGGGAGCAGACGTAGAAGTTTTGTCTATGGAACATATGTTGTGTGTTATGTCAGTAGATTTTGAATTTGATTGATATTGGATTAAAAAAAAGTGTAGTTTTTCTTTCCAGTTGATTGTGAAATTGGAGCAGAAAGCGTCAATTTCACTTTAATTTGGTTTAGTGGTCTTCGTATGGTATAAGTTTCCGCTCAAATTTAAGTTTAAATCAGAGATGTTAATTACTTCCTCTGTTCGGATATAAGTTTCCGCTCAAATTTAAGTTTAAATCAGAGATGTTAATTACTTCCTCTGTTCGGATATACTTGTCAAATACTGTCTAATTTGATTTCTATTTTTACTAGTCATTTTTTTGACAATTCAAGGAAAGACAATTTTTCTTTTTCTATCATGTCAATTTATTAATATTGAGTTAATGTTTTTGAAAAATGTAGTGAGCAAAGATCAAATCTTCCATATAAATCCGGAGGGAGTAACGGGAAATATCTCATTCCAAAATGAAATGTCATTAAACATATATACTAGTATGATGACACTTGCAATTTTGAAGTACACCCACAACGGCAAAGTTTGTTCAGATAATTTTTAGTTTTTAATAGGGTATATTGTTATACAAAATATGCTACATGAAAAATTGATGATTTTTTAATAAGTGGTTTCTTATGTTGCAATAAAGGTGGGTTCTTGCTGTAAAAATGTTGTTATAGAGATCAATAGACCATAGCCTTCAAAAATCATCAACAATTTACCAAAATATGGAAACTGCTGTAAAATACATTCACTTTAGATGTTTACTACAGAAAAGGAATTAACTCCCACTGCTCAATACAAAAGAAAAATTCAAATTTGCTACTTTTAACCCGATCTATAATATTGCAATTTTTTCTTTCTTTGTTGGGGCTTCGTTATCTCTCATGCCCTGTTTATCTACCCTGATCCTTTCTTTAGGCATCGTTGACATACTACATAGATAGCCAGACAACAACTTATAGGCGCCATTATCTATTTGGTGCTGAGCATTATCGACAAGCATATATCTTAGAGTCGACAACAGCTGGTATTTCTTCATAACTAGAATCGATAAGTTAACACACACATGCTTACATATTTTAACTTACGAGTACATGTCTTGAGTTTACACGGGAAAATGTTGGGACAGATTCCATCTTTGGTACAACTTGCAAAGAACCATAGCCATGCAAAGCTATGGATTCTGAACTACCACGGAGCTACTCTTGCATTCATGTTTTCAGCAGCAGACTCCCGCGGACTCTCACTTTTGAAAGCTTGAAATCATGTGTGCAGCAGCGGATTCCCTTGCTTTGCGCGGACTCTCACAGATCTTGCTTTTACTGATAACTTTTGAATCTGCAGCTTTTACAATGACCTTGGCAAGAAATCCACCTTAACAGGGGTAAACACTGACAACGATTAGCTCAACTTTGCAACACATTTTAGAATTGGAGTGCTCGGTTAATTGAGACGACAATAGGAAAGAAAAAACACTAAAAGTTAAGAGGTTTAACCAAGTCTACGACAAGCCTTCTAGTGGAGCGGCTATACCATTTGGCAATTGATAACTACATTGCCTGTAATACAGCCCCTTAATCAACTGCAAGATGGTAAAGGAACAATAGCGTCTCCCTGACAGAGCATCCCTCCCTTTGTTTTCCTACTCGCATATCCCACCATGAAAGCAATATAGTGTTAAATATTGTATGATTAGATAGTGTGGGTTGAATCGCCAAATCCTCATAATTAGGCAATCAGGAGATGGTGTAATATTTTTATCAGTTTCTTACCTTAATACATTTTTTGTAACCACTATTTAATCCCATTAGCTTGAGGGAATAATCAAGACATTAATTTCCAAATTCTCTTCTCTTCCCCTTCTAATTTCTCACCAAGAAAGAAGAGTGTCCCCACAAGGATAGACTACTTTCTTGACGCCTTATATTCTCCATGCTCCAGTTGTCCAGTACTAGGTGTATAGGGGTGTGTTAAGTCCAACATTGGTTGAGGGAATGAGTTGTGGTCTCCTTACAAGGTCATGAACAATCATTCCCTCGTGAGCGCTATTGAGTTTGAGTTATGCCCCAAGATCCATTGATTCATCAAAATCAAACAAATACAAAAAAAGTTGGATGGAAAATGGTCAAAAGTTTAGAATAGATTTTTTCCTAGGCTAGATCTCATCAAATGTCCAATCATTTCCATCAATAGCACAATAGCATGTATCCTAATTGATATAAAATATATAGACTTTTGAGGTACATGGGAAAGTTTTAACATCTTACCCTCAAGTGGAAAGACTTGATATGTTGGCAATACCCAATTATTCCTGCAGCACAATTGATCCAGTTGCTGCGGACATAGAATTCAAACATAAATGCATGCATGTTACAATTATCCAGCAAGTAAAAATTGGAACAAAGAAGAAAAGACACTAATACTTTTAGGATAAGTAATTCACAACAGGAATGTGAAACTACATCATTTCTAAAGCATTTGTGGGAGAATCACATTCATCTTTTCATGTATTTGTAGACAACTAATATAACCAAATACTATATTTGTAAATAAACATTATACAAATATATCTTTTGGATAGATTTTCGGCGTAGATGAATATGAATATACTTCACTTGACTTCCTCAGTTTCCTACATGTTTAGCAAAGTGACTCAGTTTCTTGCACTCTTATTAACCTTGGCATACACTAGTATTGTATTGGTGCTGTCCCTCATCAATAAAATCTTCATTAATCAAATATAAATACATTCCACTTGACTTTCTCAGTCTGCTGATCCCCTCAAGCTCATAGATACACTTTAATTAAGCTATGGTCAAAAACTAGCACCGAATAATGTCAGAGTGGTCGATTTGGAGGGGTTTACAGCCTTGGGATAACCCTAGCCACACATGAGCTGTTCATTTAGTTTGAAAACCAAAACCCTAAATATAATTTGGACACCAAGCATAAGGTTGATCCTGGAATCTATGAGATGATTTGGCTTAAGAAAATGGAGGAACTAAAGATATCAAACTGGACCAAATAAGTTAGGAAGATTTCAGATTCTTAGGAATTAGATCAGAATTATCGCTCAACTCTTGGATCATCTAAAATTAAGGATTTAAGTTTCCTCTTTTAATTGATTTGTTTTCTTAAATAAATTGTATACTCTTCCGATGAATAATACAAACTATTCTGATACCAAAAATCACATTGACATACTGGAAAATACTGCTGTCTTCTTTTCAAGCCATGAGTCGCGTATTGACAGCTGAACTAGTTTAGCAAACGCAGCTAGCCCAAAATTTTACATGTAAAACAGTGAATTGATTTCAGGAAGAAATAACCAGTTGAAAGTTTTCACTATGACATACGGTAACCTAATACAAAATTTTATACAAGGAACAAATGCATCCAAGTCAAAACAAGTACTTCATCTTTCTTAGTTCAATAAAACAAGCATGTCCAATATGTGTCTCAACAATGACTTCCGATTATATTGAAGGAAATCTTAGAAATATCAAACATGAAGAAAATTTCCAATAACAGAGGACAAACAGAAGACATTTGAATGATCGCAAAATGGAAAGAATAGCAGCCTTCTACAACGCTAGTTTTCACCTTTCAATAGCTTATCTGGGGAAAGGGATACTATGGTATGGCAGAAAGATATCAAAGGGCTGTTCTTCTCTGTTAGTTCAGCATATAAGGACCTAAACTCATCAAATCTTAAGTAGGAAAGTTGGTCATGGAAGACGATTTAGAAAACAAAAGTTCCTTATAAAGTGAACTATTTTACCTGACTTTTGGCAAAGGAAGCAGCATAGACCCATGAGAACCTGAACAAAAGAGGTTTTTACCTATGCTCTAGATGCTTCTTATGTGGGGAGCAAGCTAAGACTTAACCATCTTTTTTTACATGCAAGTGACAGATCAGCTATGGAAGATGTTCATCCGCCTGAGAAAGATTAGGTAGGTGAAACCAGGGAGATTAAAAGGAGTTCTAAATTGCTGGAACGGTGATGGCAATGCACCAAAAAGGAGGAGATATGGAATTGTCCCAGCATGTATTTGGTGGACAGTATGGAGAGAAATAAATAAGATGTTTTGAGGACAAGCAGAGCAATTTGCAGAGGTTCAAGACGAATTGCTTAGCTCTTTATTACTTTTGGTGTAAACAGGAACTGTTAGCTCAAATAGAAGATTACTTTGATGTTCTAGAGTATTTGTAGGAAAAGCAACAAATAGGTGATCTAGTTGTAAGTTGTAATACTTTTGAAGGGGGACAACATATTCTGATGTAGTATACATGTGGCTATAGAGATTAACGGTTACCATTCTCAAGAAGAAGAAAAAACAAGACAGACAGAAAATAAGAAAAGCGAAAAAAAATAATGTGTCAAATTTGGATGCCTCATCTTGCCTGACATTGGTTTTGCAAAGTAAGAATAGCCTCGGACAATCTTTTTCCATTGCTATATTGAATAGTACATGAGTCTTCTACCAGTTGATTGGTACTGTCTTCGTCTTCTATACACATGTCATTACAGCCATCTATAAGAGCTTCATTTTCACCCCCTGCGTACATATTAAGAAGGAAATCATGCTGACAGTTCCCAGTCCAATTGGATTAAACTGATGCTATTCAACTGAAAAGTCTCCCAAAGGCTGACATAAAGTATCATAATGGGTATTGAAACATCAAATATTAGCAACAGATAATGTCACCTGTCATAAGAGAAAAGGTACCAGAATAGTTTCTGCCCATTCTTTTTCTCAGTTCCAATTAAAGTGACACAAAAATGTCAGCTATTTCTAATAAAAGATACTCCTTTCGTTATTTATCATTTTTTTAAGAAACAAATAGGTCTCGATTTATCTCATTAAATTTTGAAACTTATCAAAAATGCAACTTTTAGATCCATGTTGGGCCTGCGTCTCTAAAAGGAACAGAGAAGGTGTTTGATTGAAGATAACTAGTTGAGGAATAATCAAATTTTCTTTCCTCCTTTGAAGAACAAAATACTACTGTCATGGCAGGAAAACAAGAAAAACAAACCCTTACCAACTCATAAGGAACAATATGATCCTTGAAGAAGAGCAAACAGGAAAACAAACACGAGAAGGGAAGTTTCATTTCTGATTTTTTCAAGTTGTAAATAACAAGATAGATAGCAATACAAGAATATATGAGAACAAAAAAAGAAAAAGAAAAAAACTGATGATACATGGAACCTTCAACTGGCAGTTTGTTGCTTTGCATTCACATCAATCTATGTAATGCCTTAAAGGAAACAAAAGAACTTCCTGCCTAATAAAAATCTAACTTTCAGGAAAGAATCTAATATTCATTGATTCAGATGAAACGCGCTAGCAATGGAGAAAAGATCGTACCATTTAATTCGGTCTGAATAGTTTTATTGCACAAAGCAATCTCATCTTCCAAAATGCGTAGCTGATAATGCTGAAAGTAATATAGAAAGAAAGTGAATATCTCAAAATTTGACAGCACATTAGGGACCTAAATCATAATCCACAGTTTTCTACCATTTCTATCACCATATCGAGAAAACTAAAAATGTGGACTTCCTTAAACCTTCACACAGATGGCCTTCCATGTCCAATCTGAGCATGAACAGGAACACCAACACCCCTATCATACACAGCACGCAAAAATAGAAACACAAAAGAAACAGAAAAGTGGGAGTGAAACAGCTACCATTATGGGTTGTGGCATTGGCTCATTTCCAACAACTTACCTGGTTCTTTCTGTAAGTGCAAAGTTCAAAGCAGTACATGTCTGGAATGAAGTTACTGAGAAAAAATGAGAAAAGGCTGGCAAATTGGACGATGCAAAGTCTTTTTTTGACAGTATTCCCACCTACATCATGTCACTGTTCAAGGTGCAGAAACAACTAGACAAATCAGAAGGTCCTTCCTATGGACCTATGGAAGGGGAACAATGAAGGCCAAAAGATCCATCTAGTGAAGTGGTAAAATGTGATTATGCCAAAGCAACAGGGAGTACTGGGAATTAGAGATTTGTAGAAGCACAACAAGAGTCCGCTAATGAAATGGTGGTGGAGGTATGCTCAAGAACCAGCAAGCTTATGGAAAGAGGTTGTGACTGCCAAATACGGGAGTTAGGACAAAAGGAACACAAAACAGAATAGAGCTCCACATGGAGTTGGACCTTGGAAGTATGATAACAACCTGAAAGATGAATTCTTTCAAGAGGTGTCCTTCAGGACTGGAAATGACAACACAGTCAAAATTCTGGAAGGACAGGTGGCTTAACAATCAACCCCTCAGAACCTCCCATTCTAACCTCTATCACTTGGCTTCTGACCCAGACTCTTCAGTGGCACAAAACAGAGTAGGTGACATATGGGTCCCTCACTTCAGGAGGAACATATAGGACTGGAAACTAAATGAGCTTACTGATTTATTAAAGCACTTGAAGGAGTTTCAATGTATCCTCCAGTCCCAGATAGCTTAAGATGGAGTAGCTCTGAAAAAGGAATCCAAACTGTGAAGGAAGGATATAGTAGGCTGTGCACATCAAATGGAACGATAGATCAATGGGATTGGAAACTAATTTAAGAGACCAAAATCCCAACCAAAGTCAAATGCTTCTCATGGGCAACCCTCAAAGATGTTATCCTAACTCAGTATAACCAACAGGAGGAATTTTCAGTCGATTCCTCCAGTTGGTTAACAGACACTTCATGCAGGAAACAAATAACTACTAAAATAAAATCTATACCTGAGGGAAAAGAAAAACAGTTTTCTTATCAATTAGAAGGAAGAAAGGAGTTGCACGTCCTGGGAAACGAAGTATACTTAAATGAGCGAGAAGTAACCAGGTATAGGAGAAGGGACAGTAGGCTCAAAGGAGGCGGGGCCTTTTTGTTTAAGGGCTGCTCGCCTTTGAATAAGATTTTCATAAAAAATTGTTCTCTCGACTTTTTATCAATATGAGGTGATCGTAAGACTCTTGATTCAGGCAATCCAATCCTCCGAGTGTAAGGCGGAAGCCCCTAAAAATGGTTTTCAAAAAATGGGTGATTAAAAGATCGAATTACTATGCCTATCTTGGTGGTCGTGAGATGAAGGGAACATTCTTGAAAACGAGTCCAGAGTTCGTCAAGGAAAATTGGGGAAAAAAATCATCGAAAGGGAATAGGATGTTAGTCATTTGTCAGATCAACTAGTGCAAATTCTCTTTTTAGGAGGTCCAGAAAATGTAATACCCAAAGTTTCATTTGCAAATTCTGATCCAACATTAACAATTTTTCCAAAAGTGAAACGAGAAGCCATATTTATTAACCATAGAATCAAAGATTGTCAACATGGAAACTAGAAATGGCATGCACCTAGGAAGACGTAGGAAGAATAGCAATATCAGAGGCAGTTACCAGTTTCTCTCTTTTCCAGCGAAGAACAGTCAAGGCAGATTGTGATATTGCATATTCCTTTGAAGCCAAAGTGGTTACTCCATCCTCAGATTGTTGGGAACCCAACTGAGACAGGCCTACTGCAGAGACTCCTTGCATAACTCTTCTTCTTTTCGCTTCAACAATCTTTTCATCATCGTAATCAGTAATGCATGACTTAATCATGGGTGGAGCCACATTCTCCTGTCAACATGCTTGAATATTGAATACTCACAAACATTTTCGTCCATAAAATTGACTCTGAAAGCATGATGTGATAACAAAACTTGCAGGTAATTCAAAGTTATTACTCAGAAATTATTACTTCCTCCATTTCAATTTGTTTGTCCATTTTGACTTGGCACAAAGTTTAAAAAAGTAAAGAGGACTATTGAATCCTGTGATTTGAACTACATTTGAACTACAGATATGTAGAATGTACCAAATGCACTTTAATCTTGTGGTCTTAAACACGTCATGCGAAAAAGGATAAAAAATGTCCTTCGCGTAACAAAAATTCCCTCCTTTCACCTTATGGTTCAAAAATGGCCTCAATTTTATTTTTAGGGCTAAAAATGCCCTTTTATTAAGAAAAGCATGACATGGCATAGTCCAGTCATTTAATCAAACAAGTGGCCTTTAACTTAAAATGAATAGTTATCATGAATTCAATTATTTTTCAAGATAAGGTGGGGGACTAGACTTCGTGGTGGACAAACAGAGGAAATTTGATGTTTGGGCATGTGAAGAGATCTGCACATATGCCCAAGCGAGCGTTGTCTTTCTTTTTTAGAAGTTTGGAGCATCTTATATGCTTCTTTTTCCTCCTAGTTTTATTTATTACTAGTCTCTAGACATGTGAAACATGTGTGTTGCACGTATGCTTCATTTCAATTGAACTTTAAAACCATATGTAAGTAATGAATAATTGAAATTTTTGAAGGAAACTACAACATTTTGTAAGTTATACATAATCAATTGAATTGGTGTAATTTGTTTTCTATGTAGCTCTTCTAATATAGCAATATAATATTTAGGATGACACTTTTCTTGTTTTTTGATACTTCAGCGACACATAGTTTAAAAGTAAACTTAAGCAACCTAACACGGGTTATGTTTGTAAATGTCTCACTGTCTAAAAACTTGTGTCTTGTCTTTAGGAAACTGTAGTCGACTCCTTTTTACAGTCGCATAAATATCAAGAGCTATTGCTTATCTGATGCAGTTAGTTGTCCTAGTGCACATACTATTTCTGGCCGTTACTCCCCCAAGCTCACATAGCTATCAACTTCTCCCAACTCCAAAGCTTTGGCATTGTCAAGCCTCCACATTTACAACCCTCTTCTTCCTCTTACTCTAAATATCTAAACAAATTCTTATGTTGGGTTGTTAGATTCTCGCTCGGGATAATCTTGTAGTCCTTACATAAACTTCTATCTCTCCTCTTAAGAAGTAGGTAGTCTATTTGGGTCTTAGCCACCGCACTACGGTAGGTCACCAAGTGTTCCTCTTCTGAAAACTCGAGTTAGAAATAACAAAGTCAATAACCTTTGCGCAATAACCCCCTCGTTCCTATCCCCAAAGTAGAAACCGCCATGCACATCATCGTAACCCCTCAAAGTGCTCCCTATATGGACCATTAAAATCACCTCCCATAAATGTCTTCTTGATGTGTGGGATACCTCTCACAACCTCATCCAGATCCTCCCAAAACCACTTCTTGAACTCGTCGTCGAAACCCTTATGCACTATGTCAAAGGTCAGACCTCCCACAGCTAGTTTAATAGCCATCATCCTATCATTCACCCTCTTACTCCATTCCACCATAAATAAACAAATAAATATGATAAAATATTACTATGAGATGGGAAAATAATTGAAGAAAGTTCCACATGTACTACATTAAACAGAAAAGAGCATATAAGGCACTATAGGATTCATTTGGTGATAATAAATGCTGAAAAAATTGTTACGATTTTATCTCTTGCCTAAATGATAATCACATCAGTCGTTCACACATACTTGATGAGGACCACCAAGCCAATTGGATAAACAAGTCATTTATCACCAGCTTTCTTTGAAAAAGGTGCATCTCGTGGAATTCCTTATAGTGTAGTTACTGTAGGAGTTAGTTTTCACCTGATTTACTTCTTTCTCGCTGGAGCTACCTCCAACGTGTACATCATATGCATGGGCAGCTACCACTTCTACATGTAGATCTTGCAAGCCACTTGACAACCGCTCCCTGTGATGAGAACTCCATTTACAACAAAAAAGGAACTATGCTTAATATCCTCCTCGCGATCCTTTTGAAAGAGCAGAATAGATATCTAGGAAATAAACAAGAAATTATCTGACCACCCACATGCTTCTGCTGTACTTCAAAGGCAAAAGTAAGCAGGCACAATGAAGCTAGTGTTTCAGGAGCAAAGGGTCCAACTAATTTGGGCCCAAATGAAGCAATACATAATTATTACAACGCCCCAGGGAAAAGGGCCCAAGCAAAGAATAAGGCCAAAAATACCACTTCTGACTGGAAGACTATACGCTTATTACAAGCAAAGCCTCTGCAGCCTCTATATACAAAGCACAGGAAGACACTTCCGATGCCACCATAATAGAAATATTATCAAGTTTGTGAAAATCCCGTCAGAGAAAGAAAAATCATAGGATAGTTTCTACTGGAAGGAAAACAGGTATGATGGAGCATATTAAATTGAGAATAAAAAGCATTTTCGCTGCAGAGACTAGAGGGCAATGTTCGACTAAACATTTTGCAATAAAAAAAGGAAAAGAAATAACAAAAGAAACCAGATGCAACTTCTACCTAGAATGCCAGTTCGACAAAATCTCTCGGTAGGGAAGCAAGTGAAAATACTCAACAGCTGGAGCAACCGACCATTCACATGAATTTTTCTTGATTAAAGGACCCTGCAAGCTACTCCAGAAGCAGATTCAAGGGAAAATCAGCCATTGGTCGACATTGGAGCAATATTTATAGTACTAAAAATAAAACTTAAAGCAATATTCATTTATGCAATGCAAAATTCAGCTTTTCTAACAGATTATGAAATAAACTAAGGAGAGATCAATTCCTTATAAAATTTGATCCTTCATCCATGAAATGCACTTATCAGGCTACTTAACACATCAATAGATCAACATAATTGAATTATGCTCATACAAGTGCAAAATGATGTGATGAATACTATTGTTGAGTTCCAAGATAGAGGTGAATTCAAAAAAAGTATGAATGCCTCATTCGTTGTCACCATGCTTGAGGGAGGGAGCTACGAGCGCTGATGATACCATGTTTCTTTGTGATGCAGTTGAGACCCAACTGGATTAGGACAAGTTCTCATTTGGTTTCAGGTAGTGTTAGGTCATAAAATTATTTTGAGGAAGTGTGAGATTGTTCCTGTTCGAGAGGTGAATGACCTTGGATTGCTTGCTCGAGTATTGGATTGTAGGGCTGGGACTCTTCCGACTACATACCTGGGAGTATCGTTAGGTACTTCGAACAAGGATCATGCGGTGTGAAAACCGGGTTTTCAGAGGGTTGAAAAGAGACTAGCAGGGTGGCAGAAAAGATAAATATCGAAAAGCAGAACGAAGTGCTTATAAAGAGCACATTATCGAGCATCCCCACTAACAACATGTCTTTGTTTCAGGCTCCAACTGTGGTCACTAAAAAGCTGGAAAAGATTCAGACGAGATTCCTTTGGGATGCAGCGAATGGGGCAAGAAAATTTCACTTGGTGCGGTGGAATCCTGTCACAACTCCTACAAAATGAGAGGCGTTGGAATTAAAGATTTGATGCTACAATTCAACAAATTAGGAGGACACAAGATGGAGAGACTTTTTGGGACTTGAGATTTAGAAGGGATTTTCAAGATTGGGCAGTGAATGAGCTTCAAATATTGTTAGCCTTACTGCATATGCAAGTCAATTCGATGGATAATCTCGATGTTTTGCAGTGGGGCTTGGGAAACAATGGAGCGTCAGCATGAAGTACTTCGATGAGAAACTATTATTTAGGGAGGAGGTTGAAGTCCCATGTAATGCAATATGGGTTCCAAAGGTGCCGAGGAAGGACGGACTCTTCACTTGGCCAATAAAGGGGTGATCTTGATAGCGAAAAATCAAAGTGAAAAGTTGCTTGCGTCAGTTGGTGTTACATGCGGGTGAGGATTTGGATCATCTTTTACTTCATTGTGGCAAACCATGAAACTATGGTGGGATATGCTTAGGTGGTTTGCCACTCTTTGGGCGATGTCAAAAACTGTGAAGATTTGATGTTCAGCTAGAAAAGTGGGAGAAGGAGGAGGAGATAAAGGGCTTAGAACGTGGTTCCACATGCGTTAATATGGGAGGTGTGGAGAGAGAGAGAAATAGGAGAGCTTTTGAAAGTGTAGAGTCAAGTTTCTCTCAGTTGAGGAGTAGTCTCCGTTTCTTCATTTTCTTTTGGTGTAATTAAAAAATTCCTTATTGTATAGACGATTGGATGGAATTTGTAGAGAATCATATTTTGTAGATTCTTTACCTTTTAGTATATCACTAGAATACGCCTAGTTTGACCACGTTTATGAATGAAAATAATTTTACTTGATAAAAAAATGCAAAATTGGATCTCCTACGAGCACATTAAAGATTTATATATTATGCATTAATATTGGTAACAAGACTCACATTTGACAAGAGATGTATTTGGTTTTAAAGGTCCAGTTTATTATTGTTTTTGTCGTTAATTTCTTGAAGCATGCACTTGAATATGTAGAGAAATGAACCAACCTTTCAATGATGTCGCGAATAGGAATCGTAAAACCTTCATTCACCAACTTAGTGGATTGTACAAGATATAATCGCGCGGATGCTTTTTCTTTATCCAAGGAATATACAAGGTGGCTCTCTAGGACAACCAGATCACTTCTATTGATGCCTGTTGCAAATGCAAATTACATGAAATATTTAGTCATTCTACAAAAATTACAGCACATAAACTGAAGTATTATGGCAATATTTCCAACATTACATATGAAGCTGCCTATGGCTAAGTGAAGAATATAAGGCTGCTTAAAAGATAGGATATTAATCAGTATACTAGTAGCAGAGTTAATTACTTCAAAGAGATCAAAAGGCGGAAAATGGTTACTAATCATGACTGATTCTAGTGGAATAAAAATAATTACAGATCAATCCAGCTAGCTACAGAAAAAATCAAACCAAACTTGAGAGTATTTTTCAAACAAACAAAATAAATGTAAGGAAGATTCTTATAACTCAAAGATAGAGACTCATGGGGGCAGTGACAGATCTAGAACACAACCAATGGATTCACGGGAACTCATTACCTTTTGCCCAGACCCCTATACATTAAAAAAATCATTAAATATCAAGAAAAAAAAATGATTGTCAACTAAGTTATTATTGTAAATTAACTTGAGGTCTTTGTGGGTGGCAGAACCACAATTTTCACTAAGATTCAAAATGTAAAAGAGCAAACACACGAAGAAGTCAAGGAGATTCACTATCTCCTATATATTCATAAAAAATAATTTGACCTTTAGTCCTAGTGGAACATTTTTTTTAATAAAACTGAACTGAGACGGACTTAATTGGAACAATATGGACAGTGACAATTCATAAAACCACCTCAACTTCCTTTGTATTATGTAGTTACTAGTGAATTTATCCGCGCTTCGCGCAGTTATAAAAGATAATAAGATATCATCTTTTAAAATTAAATATTACTATATGTATCTCTCTATCTCTATCTATCTATGAATATTTGGTTTGTTAGTAAACTTTCAACAAAATCATGAGTTATATTTTGAAAGAAAAGAAATCATAGACTTACGATAATCAAAAATTCATATAAAATATAAAATGAAGAGTAATTATAGAGAGAGCATACAAAAAAAGTAAATAATACGACGTCATTTTTACAATCATAATCATTAAAAAAAAAAAAAAAAAAAATAAATATATATATATATATATATATGAAATCAATATACAATCTTCCGAGCTCTAGTTGACATCTACTCCCATAAGTCAATCATCATTCAATAGCCTTCATCCTATTCTTCAAGTCCAAAGTATGAATACAATAAGCACCGAAAACATAACAAATTAAAATGCTAATATGATCATTATTCATTATTGTCTCTATTTATAGGACTACAATATGAAATAACAAATAATGTCATGAATATGACATTAATTATTTTAGGTGTTATGATGATAAAAGGTTGTAAGAATAATGAAAATAAAGACCATTAAGTTTTACATTTAATTTTTTTAAAGAAATGACTTTTTAGTTTCTTAACATTGCTTTAATATAATCAAGAGGATTATATGAGTGTTTTTTTTTAATATTTTGAATATAGCACATAAACGGGGGAAAATGAAAATGAGAACCCCCCCCCCCAAAGGAGAAAAATAATAATTGTATTTCGCTATCGCATCACTTTTTATATTTCTAATTTTATTATTGTATATAGATTTGACAATAAATTATTCTGCAATATTGAAGCCTCGCATTAGTTGAATATGCGATTAAGTTTCATTATATGGTGGAGACTCGAGATACTTTGTGTGTTATATTAGGAAAAGACATATACATAAGTAAAGAAGATATTATTCTATGTAAAATGGTTGCTTTTGTATTTTTGGTTTTTTGCTTATACACGTACTGTACCGGGCTTCATATTTTTTTTAATTATATATATGGCCAAGCATTAATTGCTATTTAGGTAGTAGATTATCAATTGAATTTCATAATACATTTCTAGACTATACATGTCAAATACAAATTCTACTGTCTAAGGATTAAAGTTTTTCATGATAACTTCAACGTCTCTTTGTCCACTATTAATAGGAACGGTAAACATTTAATTGGTTTTTTTGTTTAATTCTATTTGATTCTTAGGGGGTGAATTTTGAGATTGAGTGGAAGTTCCATCCGGATTCAATGGATCAGAACTGTAGTAACAAAGAAATACATATTCGAAACTTGAAAATAAATGGAAATAATCTAATAATTAGAAACTTCACCAAATTTTGACCAATCCTGGTATATCTTAAAAATGATTTTTTAGTTAAAATAAGATTGCAATGTAATGTATAATTTCCTGAAAATAAAAGCAAAAAATAAACTCACATCATCCATAAAATTAACTACCATCTTCATGTATTAGTAATATCATCACGAATAAAAATGCAACAGAGAAAAGAAAAAATATTAAATTAGAAAATAGAAAATAAAGAAACCAACAAAATACATACATTCACTCCATATTCTGCATCTTTGTATACATGTATATATGATTTCATATGCAAACATTATCGAGCATATGTAGCTGTGTGTTCTTGAGAGAAATCATGCACATTTTGTTTGCAAACACTATTTTATTCATTCATTTATAGTATGGTAAAGTGATGAAAGAAGTTACAATGATTCATATAAACGCATAAATAAATGTGATTTCTTTTAATCCTATTAAATTTGTTATCAAAAGAAAGACAAAAGGTCAAAAGAAAGGTACTAAAAGAAGATAAATGCAAGGCTGAAGTAATTTATAGAACGTGTCTCTTTAAATCCTGTAGGGGTTGTAGGGGTTTAATGTGTTTTCTTATCATGAATATATTTTATTTTTAATTTAGAAAAATGAGATAAAAGCTTAAAAATTTGACAAAATAGATAAATACTAATGATGGTCATTGAAAGGTGCCACATCACCGTTTTCATATTCTACTTTATAAATATATATATATATATATATAGATTGTAGTTAAAAGAAATAAAATGTAGTTATTGTAGCCTTGAGTGGCAGGTGCATGAAACATCTTTTCACAACATGAACCACAATGGACATCACTTCTCACAAACAAAACCACAAGAACCACTTGCTTAGTACTGATAGGAAGCACAAACAAACCAAAAGAACTATTTCCATAGTACTGATAGAATAAACAGGCACCACAGGAAAGATCAGTTCAAACCCAATTTGGTGGGCAAGGAGAAAATCACTTCCAAAGGCAAATTTTGAGAACTTAAAACTCTAGAATTTTGATTCCTCATTAAGCATATACCTGTTGCTTCTGTGGCAGCGGAAAGCGCAAGATCTTGGAGCGATGATCCATCAGCATACTGAAGACCGGTTGAAAACATGTTAGCTTTTTTCTTTTTGCTTATGCACTTTGAATCAAAAAGATAACTTGAAGAGACATCAAGATGTTTCTCAATAATGGACCAAACTGCACAGGTCATAGAACTATGCATGAGCAAGCAATTCTCCCTCCTTGAATCAACTAAGAATACAGCAACTTTGGAAGTAGGCCATTTCTGTGATAGCGGAACAACTTCTGCAGCATCCAGCGTTGAAGATATATCACATGCCCTCATAATTTCCTTCTCAGTGAGTGAAAGTTGGCTTTCCAAATTGTCCACGTCAGTGTAATCTGATCGATGCATTAATTTCACATATGTCATCAAAGTTGGTTTCAGAACTACAGCTAATTGGCAAAATGATGCAAAATTAAGAAATTCTATTTTCTGATCTTGATGTTGCTTCCTGTAGTAGTAGTTGTAGAGCAACACAACAGCACCCACCTGCCAACATCAGCAGCCAGTAGAAGAATGGATTAAGTAGAACATAACAAACATACCATAGCGCTTGCAAGAAGGTTTCTCACTAACCAAAAAATATCATAACCTTTATTACTCAACTTCCATACCAAGCTTGAGTATGCTAGCACACTAATTAATCTAAATTCAATCATAATGCAGCTCACTTCCCCTAGAATCATTTACATAGAATCCACCCATCCCCATCGCAGAAGATCTTTCCCCAAAGTCAATTGCATGAGATATAGAAGTTTAGAGTATACAGATGAAAAGAAAAATGTGTATGGATAAGTTCGTGTTTAACTTTAGATTATTTTTTTTTTGAAACTGTTAACTTTAGTCTATATATCCACAGGTATACTACAACAAAAGTGTAGTTCCCCATCAAAAGTGTTTCAACTTACAGAATAAAATAGTCTTAGTCTAAACTGCTGCCTATAAACAATCTAGCACATCAAAGATGTCTTCTGTCCTAGTTAAATATATCTTGTTTACACCAAAAATAGAAAAGAGCTAAGCAGTCCATCTTGATCTTCGGTAAGCTATTCTGCCAATTTTCAAAACTCCTGTTGTTTCTCTCTTTCCAGACTGTCCACCAAATACATGCTGGGACAAGTTTCCATCTCTTCTCCTTGTCAGCAGCATTGCCATCTCTATTCCAGCTGCTCAGAACTCCTTTAATGCTCCCTGGTTTCACCCATCTTATCCCCTTTAGACAGATGAACATTCTCCATAATTGTTCCGTCCATGTACAATGCAAGAAAAGATGGTTAATTGTCTCAGCATGTTCTTCACATAAAGTACATCTAGAAGCCAACTGATAGCCTCTTTTCTTTAGATTTTCATGAGTCAAAACCGCTTCTTTTGTCAAAAACCACATGAAGCAGTTTACTTTGTAGGGTACTTTTGGTTTCCAGATGCTCTTCCATGGCCATGCCGTCTCCTGTCCAGCATTCTTGTTGAGTTCCTTATAAATTGAATTTACTGAGAATTGACCTTTGGTGTCATTCTGCCAAACTAAGAAGTCCTTTTCGGTGAGGTTGCTGAAAGAGCCCACTGAATCTTGAAATTCTGCCACTTTGTCTATCTCCCAATCCTGAAGGTTCCTCCTTAAGAACAAATTCCATCCTTGTTCAGTCCACATTGTAGCCACAGTGGCCTGTTGATGTTGGCATAAAATGAACAATTCAGGATGCAACTGTTTCATAGGGACAGACCCATTCCACTTATCCTCCCAGAAGGATGTCTTTGACCCATCTCCCACTTCTACCTTGGTTCTGTGATATAGCACTGGCCATAGATTTCTGATTGCCCTCCATACAGTGCATTTTATATGGAGTACTTATCATTTTAGTCATCCACTTATCTTCCATGCCATATTTTGCTGTGATGACCTCTTTCCAGAGCATGTTATCTTCATTTGCAAACTTCCACAACCACTTCATCATTAGACTCTGGTTTTGTTTCCTCAGATTTCTTATGCCTAGGCCTCCTGTATTTTTACTCACAATCAGTTCCTTCCATTTAACAAGATGAAACTTCTTCTTATCTTCACTGCCTTGCTATAAGAAATTTCTTCTAAGAGCATCAATGCTATTAGATACTTTGGCAAGTATAGGAAAGACTGACATCATATAAGAGGGTAATGCATCCATCACACTGTTAATTAAAGTCAATCTTCCTCCCAAGGACAAGTACTGACTCCTCCAGTTGGTGAGTCTCTTTTCCATTTCTCCAGGACCCCATTCCATATGCCTTTGGACTTGCTTTTAGCTCCCAAAGGCATACCTAGGTAAGTAGTTGGAAGCTCCCCAACCTTACCTCCTAGTGTTCTGGCCAGAACTTCTGTATTAAGCACACTATTGATAGGATAGATGAAGCTTTTCCCCCAGTTTATGTGGAGACCAGAGACAGCTTCAAAAATGACAAAAATAACCCTCAAAATCAGGATTTGTTTTGTCTCAGCTTCACAGAAAACCAATGTGTCATCTGCATATTGTAGATGAGTTATCTCCAAACTAGAAAGTTCTCCTGCTTGGAACCCCTTGATCCACCCCTTTCCCTTTGTTGTTTTAATAAGGTTACTCATTCCTTCCATAGCTAAGATGAATAAAAATGGGGAAAGAGGATCCCCCTGTTTAACTTTAGATTTAAAACCACATGTAATATTCTAAAACTCGCAAACTTCTGCACTTGTTAAATATTCGAAAGTAATAAAAAGATAAGGCCTGGAAGCCTAAAGTGATAACTTTATCAAACAAATTGATGTATGGACATACTAGAAGAGATACGATAAGGAATAAGATTATGCATGACAAGGTCGGAGTGGCTTCTGTGTTGAACAAGATGAGGGAAGTGGGAGTGAGACGGTTTGGGCATGTGAAAGAGGAGGTGTGAGAGGTTGCCTATAGCAGGTCTAAGGAGAGGTAGAGGTCAACCGAAAAAGAATTAGCAGAAGTGATTAGACAGCAAAACATGATGCATCTTTAACTCATGAGGACATGACTCTAGACAGAAAGGTATGGAGGTTGACGATAAAGGGTAGAAAGGTAGACGAGTGTTGTCGTACTTTTATGTGGGAGAGGCAGTGGGTCAGTCTCCTCTTCTCATCTTTTCCAAATTAAGTAGTATTAGATGGTATTCAGGTAGTATCTTATTCTTCAATTTTCACTACTACATGTTGCTTCATTTCCACTGTTTATCTTGTTATCATTTTCCTTTCAATCCCTTCTATTACACCAAATATTCTAAAACTTCAGAGATTCCATACACATTCTATTAAAGCATAGAAACTTCACACGGAGTTCCAATCGAGAAATCTTTTAATTTTACTCAGTGAATTCAATTGCAAAAAAAAAAAGATCAAATTGAATTAATCAATAAAAACATACCAAATGAATGAACAGTAATTGGAAGGCTATGAGTACCTGTTTAGCCATGGATTTTTGTTGATCAAGTGTCGGAACTTTCTTTGATTTGCAAGAACTGTGCCCTAACAACGGCTCCACCATACATTCCAGCAACGCCTGCACTACTTCCTCTGTTGCACACACCTTCTCCGTCACCTCCATTTTTTCCGTCATCTGATTCTAGTTCTAGATTATAGTTGGTGGTGCAAAAAACAGTGATCGGAAAGGAGAATTTCGATTTTAAAAAAAATGCAATGTGCATGCAAAGAAGCATGGGGTTTAACGCCCTGGGATATTTTGGGGGGAATTGGGGTTTTCCCTTTTTTAGGGTGTTAAAGAAAAGTTCACAAAATGTCACTTTTACCCTACTAATGGAAACTATTGGTCCAATATATGTTATTTTTTATTTAAATTTATTTGTTAATTTTTTTATGTTCGTTTCAAAAATAATTATTATTTTTTATTTACTTTTTCACATAGTATATTTAAGTCTTAAGATTATAAAATTAAAATATATTTGACATATTTTTAATTTAAGATTACAAAAAATTAAAATTTTATGTCAAATCAAAATAAAATAAATAATATTTTACCTATCAATGGTACGGTATTTGAAAATTTTAATTCGATAATTATAATTTTTTATTTTTAATAATATTATATTATAATCATATTATAGTAATTCAGTATGATTCGATAATTTTAAAATTTAATTTTAGTGAAGTGTGATACGGTTACTATCATAGTTTGTTTGACTTGATCTTACATATGGTATGAAATTATGATTTCGACTTTTTAAAAAAACGTCTCAATCACATCATATTAACATTTTACCCATCAACAACTATATGCATGACGTAGCCCCACAAAACAAGGTCTGAAAAGAATAAGGCGTAGACAAATTTTATTCCTACCTCAATGGTACACATATTGTTTTTAATAGACCCTCGGGTCAAGGAAAAACAAGCCAGAGCAATTCAGACAGAGAAGCAACAAAAATTAAAGCATAACAAAGCAAAAAAACTCTCCATGTCAGTTTCAATTTGATTGTTAGGATTTGACTTGATACGGAATTAAAAAAGTAAAAACATTTTTGAATCTAACAGTCTTAAACTAAAAATATATGTTGATTGACGTATCGAAATGTCTTTTAACTTTGTGACCTTAAACACGTTAAGTTTCACCTCCACGCCATTTCAGTGTGTTTACACTCCAAAATTTATGTAATGGTGTCTTCAAATCTTTAGTTCAGCCTTAACTATGTCACAAGTCTCATCAGTCAAACTAAGTCATTCCCAAATAACATACACCACAACACCAAATTTTAGATTTGTCGCATCAATTCATTTATCACCAATGTGGATAAAATGGGTCAAGAGCTAATCCTTAGTGTATTCCCATCAAAACTGAAAAGTGTTTCGCTTTTTCACCCATATCCGTTAACTGAGTCTCAGCTTCATCATACATACTCTAATGTAACACATACACCTCACCCTCTAAATATCTTCATATATATTTTTGAGAGACTTAATCATAAAACTTTTCTAGATCGATAAGCACTATGTGCAAGTCTTTTTTTGCTTCTTATATTACTCCATTGATCCCCTTACAAAACAAATAACTTCTATTATTAAACGCCTCAAAATACAAAAATACTTCAAAAAAATAAAAACAATTACTTTTGTGTTGTAAATATAATTATGTGAATGTCCATAACTTCAAGGTGTAATTACACCATAATGTATAGTAACTCGGTAACTTTTATGGTTAATATCATGTTTATGACTAACCTTTTGTGTGCCTCTATGTAATACTATAAATAGAGGAATTAGAGTTGGATACACTTGAATACTTGGAAGAATAAGAAAAACTTTCTTCTCTTGTCTCCCTATTTTTATTGTTTTTCATCTTCTATACTTTGTTTTATTTTACTTTAATTTTATAGCATTTTGTTAATTAATTATCACAGAAAGAATGTTTCAATCTCAAAATTATATGAATCATCACTAACATTTCTTTCTTTTATTTAAAATAATAAAGAGAAAAAACATAAAGTCACCATTAAAGTTATCCTGGATTTTCAAAAAGACACATTAACTTTGCAATCGTCCTATTACCTCACTAAATTATTTTAAACAGATATTATTATATAATTTTTTTATCAGCCCCAAATTTTAAGAACAAAGTGTGTTCACACATCAATCATTACATGACACGTGTTAATTTAATTAAAAATGTGTTTTTTTTCATTTTAAGTTTTTCCTTTATATTTTTTTTCTTTGTTTCTCTCTCTTTTTGACTTTTAATTTTGATTTATCTTAAATTTCACTTCATCTTCAACCTCCCACTTTCAAGTGATTCATCCCTCCATTTTTTTTCTTTTTCTTCACCTCTCACCCCCATGTCAAATTGAACCCCACTCCCATTTTTTTCCGTTTCTTTTTCTTATTCTTCTCCGATCAAATTTTTTATAAAATTAATACTATTTTTTAGACTTTATTGAATTATTGATAACAAAATTAATTATTTTTCTAAGAAAATTAAAAAAATTGAAGGTATCATCAACTACTCATTTTCATATAACTTCAAAATTAGAAATGATAATTTTAAAACAATCAATAAATTCTCCGAAAATTGAAAGAACTTAATTGAAATCAGATAAATAAAACTATATGATACTTCCTAATCATCTTGAAATCTAATGGGTTTATCAAATTATTCGAAATGTAAGAAATTTTTTAGATAAAGTTTTAAAATTAAAGAGAGTAAAACTAATAGTAGTAAAAAAAGGAATGTGAAATTGTGGTAAAAATGGAAAAAAAGGAGAAAAAAGGAAGAAACAGAAAAAATAAAAAGAAAAAAAAGTTAAAATAATAAGAAAAATAAGAAAATAAAATCTATAATAAAATACTTGTAAAAATAAAATTATATTAGTTATTTTAGGCTGATCACTCTCTTTGAAAGAGTGCACACCACTCTCTGTGTCAGGTGAACGAAAAATGATATAATAATATCTATTCAAAATTGTTTAGTGGGGTAATAGAACAGTTGCAAAGTTAATGTGTTTTTTTAAAAATTCGAGACAATGGTGAGTTTATGTTTTTTCTCTAAAATAAAATTATTACACATAATAAATAAATAAATAAGATGAAAAGGGACCTCCTATAACTAAAATTGTCCTTGGGCGGGAGGGGAGGAGAATTATGAGTAGGATGTAATCTGTTCCTCCAACAGAATCTGACAGTATTAACAAAATCTCACTTCAACACTATTTGATTCCCTCATTGGGTTTTTCTGGAAATTTCTTCAATTCTTCTGATACATATAGAGAGAAAGAGAAAAAGATTGAGCGTTAGAGATAGAGAGGGATGGGGAATCCGAAGGTGAAGTGGACGTCGGAGGAGGAAGATGCCCTAAAAGCCGGTGTGACAAAGCACGGTAGCGGAAGGTGGAAGAATATTCTCAGGGATCCTGAATTTGCCCTGGTTTTGATTAATCGCTCTAACATCGACCTCAAGGTTTGTATCTCACACGTTTTGTTTTCGTTTTCGTTTTCCGTAAGATCATTTTTCTGTGTTACATAACATGATCCTAGATAGGAAGATACGGAGATTGAGAATTAGGTTTGAAGTTTAGTAGGTAATCGGGCTTTGTCTAGTTCCGTTATCGGTATTGTTATTAATAATGTTTTTACTTATTTATCGTGTTATTTGCTATCTCTACAATTGATATGCTCACTCGAGCCAAGCTTGATTTATCGTGTTATTTGCTATCTCTACAATTGATATGCTTACTCGAGCCAAGGGTCTATCGGAAACATCCTCTTTACCTTCACAAGGTAGGGATAAGACTGTGTACACATCACCCTTGGCAGACTCCACTTGTGGGATATATTAGATATGTTGTTGTTATCTTCCTGTTTTTTTGTTTTTATTATTTGTCTTCTGTTCTGGGGTTACCTACCCTTAATTTATACTTGAAACTGAAAAAGACTTGAGTTAATGTGTTTACAATCAGCAAATATCCAGGATTTGAACTCCATGGGTTCAGTCTTTCTTAGCATTGAACCTATTAAAAATTTAAAATTACAGGTTCATACCTACTATTTATTGCAATGTTAGTGATTTTACACATGAACTTATACCACAGCATCGAAAATACTGTCCAGATGAACTCGATGTTATAATGCTGCATCCGTCCCTGGTTACAATGTGGATAGTGGCTTCATAGCGAATCTGTCCCAATTATTTTGGAATATGCAGTATAGTAGTATTCACCTGTCATGGGACTGCTTTTAACTGTGTGAATTTTGGGCTATTGATTCATACTTTATGGGTATTGCAACTCCTTTCTTAATCATTAGGAGGTGATACAGTCAGATTGAAGCTTCATGTCTTGTGTTGTTCATAAAGTGATGGCTTGATTGCAACTAAAGATTAGATTTGCTAATTAAATGTTATTTCGCCTTCCTCCCCCCGACCTTCAAAATATTTGGATTTCATTGTTAGTGACCTTGATTTGTCCTTTACATAGAGCCATATGGGGAAGAACATAGACTTCTGAATGGGATCTATGTTATATTTTCTCTTTATTGCTAAAATAATTTTCACATTCCTTTCTTTTGTTTGTCCCAAAATCAAGCTCAATTTTCTCATGATTCTTATTTTCATTCACTAGCCGTTGCTTAAATAAGTAGTGCTTAATACTTTCAATCTCAAAAGTCATATGGGGCAGTTTTAAACCTAATATACTCACACCTTAAGAAGTTACCTTTGATTCTAGTTTTGGGCCCAGTTTTGTCTAAACCAACATATAATCATGACATCCATGTGGGGTCAAAGTAAGACTACAAACTGGGGATAGAGGGAGTAATTTTCAAAACATGTAACTCTTATTTATGTTGGTGCCTCATGTCCAAACATTGCCTCTTTCACATACATATCAAATATTTGTTTGGACGATGTCCATTTATGAAAAAACTGTTACTAGGAGTGTGTTTCCTTAATACAAAAGAGAGCGAGCATTGTTTCCTTTCGATCATTAAAATGCAATACATTAATCTAAATGAGTGTTCCAGATTGAAGGAACTCAATCGGAAAAAGGAGGGACTCTAATTAGGGATATGCAGCAAAATCTTTGCTTATGGAACTAAGATATTAATCTTGTTTGGAATTTCAACTTTTGCCAATTTACAAATGTCACAGTCTCTCATCCAGAGTAGGATTATTTTAGAATTTTTTCAGACTCAATGTGATAGTCATCAAACTTTCTTTGTTCTCCTTGAACAGGACAAATGGAGAAATATGTGTATTTACACTGCTGGACAAGGTTCTAAAGATAAATCTATAGTTGTTCGTTCAAGACCAATGGAAATAGATGCATTTGTGCCTTCCCCCATTCAAAGTCTTCCGCCTATTACTTCAGCATTCGAGAATGAAGCCATTGAGGATTCTCCCAAAATCCCACAAGAAGGCTTGAATGCTCCAAAGTATGTGGGTCATTTTAGTTTCTTGTATTACTTGTATGCTTAACTACTTTATTGTGTATTTATCAAGGCTAACCAACTGTATGCATGTTTACTATTTAAAATGTACCTCCAAGGAACAATTTTTTTAAAACAAGCTTGTTAGTAACGTTTTTCTTCTTCTTTCTAGGTGAGGGGGGAGCAAGGAATTAGTTATAATTTTGAAAGGAGATGTGAAGGAAATTTCTTCTCTAGTCCTGATCACCCTCACCTCTTCCTCCCTACACCTCCCCAAGAAAAGGGTATGAAGGATTTAGCAGATTTCTTAGGGAAAGTGTAAAGCTTTTGCTCATCCCAGTGTCCGATTTGGACTGTAAATCCCCTCCCCGTCATCCTTTGGGTGATGGATTTTTGTGATATTTGAAATACCTTCATTAAAAAGGATAAGGAGAGAAAGGAAGTCAACTGAAAGGAAAGAGGAAAGAGCTGCAAATGCATTTGTTCTTGTATGACAGTACTGGGTGATCTTTCATTATCTAGAAGTTAAATCTATTTAATAGGACCTTTTGCAAAGCTGTTGTACAGTCTGCTATTTGCATTAGTTTCTTGTATTTTAAGAAGTGGATGTCTGGATCTTTTCTTTTGGGATATATCCTTGGTTTGATGGAGTTTATTCCATTTAGATGTGTTTACGACATAGTTATTCTTCTTTTCCTTTCCCTGAATTCTTTACTATGTAAGGTCAAAATTGGAATGGTGTAAGTCGAAGTGGGGAGAAGCAACTATCTATTACTAAAATAAATATGAGATTATCTACATGCCCCATATTGAGGTTGATAAGGCATATTGCATGTTTTGGGCTTGGAAAGAATTGTTATTGTCAATCTTTGTACTGCACACTTGGACTTCCTAATGAGGGCATGTGGATCTGCATGCACTTTGAATTTAAAAATGCTTAGGATAGAAATCTTTCTCATCCTGCTTGTATGATTGTTTTTGTAAGTAGCCGATCTACTGGTCCATCATTACACCAGTTGTCGAAATTCAAACTAATTTATGCAAGTTTGCTGGCTTTCATTATATATTGATATCTCTGCCATACTTCCAGGTATAATGATTTGATCTTTGAAGCTTTGTCATCCATGAGGGATTCAAATGGATCTGATCTTGGTGCCATTGTGGGATTTATTGAGGTGAGTTCGATCAGCTCGTCGTTATTGCATTGGAACTTCCTTGGAAAGTCGTGCTTTATATGACTTCATGATCTTCATGTTGACATGCCTGGTTTTGCTTCTTCTGCTTTTCAGTTGACATCATAATGATTTCAGACTTTAAGAGGTCATTGAATTAGTCAATGCATGTTGGAATTCTGTATCAAATGCTTTAATTTCATTAACATCAACCTTTTTTCCATGTATACTTTCTTAGATTTCTTGAGTCATAAATGGAGGCAATTTACTTTAGCAAAGAATACCCTATAATTTTTGCAAAGAATACTTGTGCTTTATTTTCCGACAAATCATGGTTCTTGGTTTTGCCCTCTATTTGCTTTCAAAAGTTCTATGACAGTTCATGTTCAATTTCTGTTGGGGGTTTGTGCTAGGCCCTTAAGGTTCTTATTATCTTTCTAAAAAAACATTGAAATGCCAAACCAGACAGCTTTTCCCCTTTTCAGCTTCTTTTCTTTTTGAAATTGAATATGATTTTTTGAAAAAAATACAGATATGTCAACTTGTCTTTCTTCGTTAATCTGTGAGCTTATGCTTCTGTGCAATACAAGCCCCTAAGGGGATGGCTAAGTGGTTGGGGCATGGGAATAATTACAATTATGACATTTGGTGTGAGCCCACTTGCTTCAGCTTGGTTAGCAAGTGTACCTTGGCAACTTTGTTTGTGGGGCTGGACAGATGCCTGGACACCACTGATAACGGTAAAAGAAGGCTTTGAACTGCACACGTAGTTCTCTTATCTTTTTCCCTATTGGAAGAAAAAGAAGATTTCTGCGTATTACAAACACACATTTGATGTCCTCTAAGCTTAAATATTAACACTTACCAACTCAAATAGAGGAAGTAATGTCCTTTTGTTGATATTTTTTATCTGTTGATATGTCAAACTCTTTCATGCGATCCTTTGTCTTTTGCTTAAAAAGGAAAAACAAAAAAGAGAGGCTGTATGATCTGCTGGTAACTTTCAGTGACAATTCCATTTTGATTACCGTTGCATTTTTTTGCTTAAAAAGGAAAAACAAAAAAGAGAGGCTGTATGATCTGCTGGTAACTTTCAGTGACAATTCCATTTTGATTACCGTTGCATTTAGACTTTACAAAGGAAGTCGACTCTCTATTCTTATTGCAGCAACGACATGAAGTACCACCAAACTTTAGAAGGTTCTTGAGTTCCAAGTTGAGAAGACTGGTTATGCAAGGAAAACTTGAAAAGGTAAATAGTTTCTGAATTCCTTAAAGTAAGCTTCCGGAGTAATGATCTCTTCATTATTTACTGCCTAACTCATGTTGATGGATGACTTTACTTGTTTTACCATGCAATTTGAGGAATTTGGACAAATGTGGTTCAATTGATGCATCTAATGCTCCGTTAGGATTATTGCATCTTGAAATTGCTTTCAGTGTTATGTTATTTGTGGAGAATCTTCACCAATTATTCATTAGCATATAACTGATGATGCATCTAAGTAGTCACTGCACAAAGCTTAAAGTCAGCAGCCATTGATTAATTAAGCCTGATACTAGCCTTCTGAAAAAATGAAGGGTGAAACAGGTTATTTCCAAGTTCTGACCTGCAAAGTAGTTGCAGAACCTTCAATTGGAATTCTGTTCTTTGTATTTCATGAGGTGATAACATCTTATGTCCAGTTCTTTGTGACAGAAAACAAAGATAGAGGGAAGCATAATCTTTTGGCACTTGAAGACAAGGATACCCTGTTACTCTTTTGTCTGCAATAAGCATCACTTTAGCTCCAGCAACTAGAATTTTGGCAACCCCCCAATCCTCCCACCCTGAAAAACAAAAGGGTAGGGTGGGGGGGATTACAAATATAGTCTTCACACTTTCGAAACCCGGAAAAATCTTGCTTTGAAACACTTTTGACATTAAGCTTAGCATTCCTCTCTATTTGATGAATTGCAGGTCGAGAAGTGCTATAAGATGAAAGATGCATCATTAGAAACCAATATACCTACTCCAAAACAAAATGATGTCCGGTCATGGCCAGTTCCGAATTCAGTTCCAAGACAAAATGATGTCCTGTCTTGGCCAGTTCCGAATTCAGCTCCAAAACAAATTGATGTCCTGTCATGGCCAGTTCCGAATTCGGGTCCGAAACAAAATGATGTCCGGTCATGGTCAGTTCCGAATATGGCTCCAAAGCAAAATGATGTCCGGTCATGGCAAGTTCCGAATTCGGCTGTAAAAGTCTCCAGTGGAACAGCAGAAGAAGCTGCTAGGATTGCTTCTGACAGGGTTGCTGATGCAGAAAATAAGCGTTGCTTGGAAGTTGCAGCAGTCAGAGATGCAGAAATGAAGCTAGAAATGGCTGAGGAAGCAGAGTTAATGTTACAAATTATCAATGAGATCTATGATCATTGTAAGTATTCTGGTTGTTACCTAACGTGCTAAATTATGTACGTATGATTTAGGTTTTTTGATGGTTCAGTGTTTAAATGCAGTCATTTCCCAATCTTTGGATTGGATTTGCTAATTGAACAAATGTTTCTTTTCTTGTTGCCTTTTGTGGTGGTGTTTCCAGGTTCACAAGGTGAAATTATTCTCTTGGCTTGATCACCATGTGGAATGGCTTGTATATACTGCTCGTTGAGATGCCGAGATGCTTTTCATTTTCTGATAGCAGTGGGTTCCAAACTTTAGGGTGCCAACCAATTTACTTTCCTTTAGAAGTATACTTGAGAAAAATAATGGAGCTTCAGAGACTATGATCGTTGCTATCTTGTGTATCCCTACCCATTTAAGTTCTTTAGTACAGACAACAAACTATAGGGTTATGTTTCAAATTTCAAAATCCAGTTCATAGATTTGCTATTGACCTTTTCGCTTATGTTTTAGCGAGAGGAAGCTATATAGATGAGAATTTTATTGTTATTGGCATACACAATCAGCAGCTCTGCGGAGATATTGTTTTGCAATAACTTGGCATGCTAGTTAAACTATTTCCTGGAACCAAATTTCACTGAGGTTTCTTGTGTTGGCGTCAACGTGCTTTGGGTTTTTACTTTCTAGGCTTTAAACAATTCACCAAATGACTGACCAGGAAAAACTCTTTGTGCACTGGGTAAAGTGCTCTGGATATAGGTGAAAGTGTTCGCCAACAAAGTGAATCAACTTCACTCCTGTTATTTCTTTTTTTCGATCAGCTATGAAATGCTTCTTGAGCCGATGTTTATCGGAAACAATCTCTTCTCTATCTACCAAGGTAGTGGGGTAAGGTCTGTGGTATGTTGTTGCAGTTACTTTGAAACTGTGAAAGTGATAAAATTGTTTCCCCTTTTGATCACAATGAGCTACAATATAGAAATGAAAAGCTCTTCAAATTTGCATGTCATATTCATTTTGCTTAGAGTACAGTAATTCTTAAGATGCTAAAAATTGTTAAGCTTCTCCTGCGTAAAGCAGCTATACGTATCATGCTAAGAAAAGTTGCTTTCAGTTCTCTAACTACAGAAAGAAAAAAAGAAAGATTCGCCTGTCAAAAATATACAACATACCAATATAGTATGCATATCTTACCCCTACCATTGTGAGGTAGAAGTTGTTTCCAATACACGCATATAGTTAGAGGCTTCTGTAGAACTTGTAAAAGTACCATCCAATGGTAATGAAGTTTCATCAATGGACTACAAATGAATGTTGGTGTCTTTGGAGGAAAACATTCAATTTTGCATGTTCCCTAGGGTCAAAATTAGGAAAAAACATAGTATTAATACTCTAGAAAAATAAATTCCTTTAAAATAAGGAAAAAAAGTCACAAATGACATTCCACATTAATTGTGTACCCACAACGCACTTTATCTTCACTCCAACATCCTGTAGCTCCCACCCTCAGTCTAGATTATATACAAGCTTTTAGAATAATAAAAAACTCACCCATTTTCCATAGCACACTTGTAATCAAGTCAACTTAAAAATCTCAGCAAACAAGTCTCCCTTTTTTCTTGTTTTTTTCTCTGGAAACTGTCTAATGCAACAATCCAGAAACCGTCTGAATCTCAAAGTATGAAGTCGCACAAACTAAGCCCAAGTGCGATCCAAAATATTTCTGAAGGAGGTATAACTGCTTTATTAATGACAACGTCAATCAAGTAAGTAATGGATTTAGGAAGGACGTAGAAAGATATGATAGTTTACCCACAAAAAGAGTTGAACTGGTACTTATCCATAGTTACAATGAAACAGGCAAGATCAGGAACTACAAAGTCCAATTGAGAGGGATACGAGACAGATAGAGCAAAATAGAGAGTTCTACATCGAAATAAAATTACCAAAAATGCTTCTCTGTCCCAAGTAACAAACAGTTTTGCGAGCTCCAACTACAAGAGTACAAGCCCAAGCTCTGATGATCTTAAAACATGTTTTGTTCGATAATTGTAGAGATAGTAGTGGAGTTTCCCATCACCGGGGCCAAACTTCAGTTCCTTCAAGAAACTATCGTTCTGCATAACATCTAGGGCATTGAAAACATCAAAATCCTTCTGCTTTGCCACAATAAGGGCATCATTCATCAACTGAATCAATGGAGTCTTTGTAGAGACATTGTAATACGAATAAGCAGCTTTTAGAGTGGTATGATTCTGGTTACCAAGAATTGATGAAGGGAGTGTGTAAAAACTGCAGAAGTCTGTGATTTCATGAGTTTGAGGACTTTCAACCAGATAACTGTCAATAACACCTTCCTTTGGCAGAAGCCAGTGTTCCACATCATTTTCATCGAAGTCAGGTGCAACCAAAAACTGCTTCAAGTAATTCCTAAGCAATCGAGTAACTGCAGGAACATCATGGGGCTCCATCTTCCTGAACCCAGGTGTGACAGTCTGATCAGGTAACTTATACAGCTTTATTGTTCGACTCATTGTCATCCTTGCACCAAGCCTGGAAAACCCGACATCAATTAGCTTCTTTGGATTCAGAGATCTATGCCAATATTGACAGGTTGATACAGGGGTTGGAAGGACCACCCCAGCTGTATAAGCAGCCTGCCAGATATTCTCCATATGAACCCTCCTTGTGACCTCTTTTATCATGACAGGAGCAAGTCTTTTTGATCTAAGTTTCTTATGAACACAAAGAAAATTGATCTCTGCCATCATCACAACAGTATCTCGGACGCGTATCCTTGCAGGTACCCCTGTAATAAAAGCAACCAACTTTTTTGAGGTCTTCACTCTGACTCCAATGTGCCAGCTCCTATAGAAACCTAGAGGGCGAAGTGCCCATCGAAGAAATTCTTTAGAGTAATTGAACCTAAACATGTTTTCATCATCCTCAACATAGTTGTTTGTTAGAAGAACATAGACTTCATTGCACATCTCCTCTGAGTCCATATCACAGGTGGTCCACTCATACTGACTTGGAAGGTTGTAAGGCTCCTGCTTAACTTCTGACAGAGGAGTTGGAGGTTCAATAGGGCCTTCAGGCAAGCTTGAATCCCCAAGATCCTTAAACTGTCCCACTGGTTGGGTCTCCCAGAACTTATGTCTCTTTGCGAGGGGCAAAGATTCTTGGCCCTTTCGTGCCAAGGAATCAATGGCTACATCATTACCATTCTCCGGAGCTAAATTATCATCAGAACTTTGGTTATGGTTCTCGGTTGACTTACTGTTGTCAGCCATTTCACCAGCTTCAGTGTATTATTCTCTGTCAATACATCATAAATTCAAAACCAAGAGCAAATGACTAAAAGAATAAGCAACAAAATGCAATATAGTGGTGAGAGAGATCTGGTTATTTAACTAAGCATCAGGGGGATTAAAGGGGTTGTGACAAGTACTTTGACGGAATCAGTCAACAGTCTTTATTAAGTGAAGCCTGTGAGGACAACAAAAGATCCATGTACTTAAATCTTTTAGCATTTTGGCGTAAAACAAATTTAATAAATAACATGGAAGTTCTTCTCAAATTTTATCTGCTCCCTATTTTTTTTAATAGATGAATAGAATTGTAACCATAAAGACAGTTTTTGCAGAAAAACGAGAGTTTCAGCAACTACTTGATATCAAATGAACAAAAGTCACTTGTCTTTATATGTATGATTTAAACTAAAAAAGTAGCCCTAATCAGCTCAACTAGGCACCATCCCTCAAACATCTTATATATTATGTAAGGACGTTCTCTATTTGGTAACTGTGGTGTTCAGGCCAGACTAATTCCATGGGATTCCTGATACCTCCACTTCCCACGAGCAACAAGTATGAAGTAACTCTGTTCGACAAGACTAGTCGATTTCACTTAGTTACAACTTGCAAGCAAGAATACTAATGAAGAATCCACCATACACATAGAATCCATGAGAATATCAAACTGATGGATGAACATTGTATAACAACAGGCACAATGTATTAGATCAAAGTTGATTGTCTCCAAGAAACTAAATAGTAAAATAAGCAGTATTCTAACTCTTAACGAGCTTGACCAGCTAAATTACATGTTCTTTCAGAAACCAAATCAAACATCATTTTCCACTATTGCATGACTTCCTATTCACGCTAACTAACACTTTATTCAAAATCGTGCAGAGTGTGCTAATATATAAGAATACAGCATCAACGCAGGATCCAAAATTCCACAATTTCAAAATCAAAATCAATCAACATCTTCCACATATAATAACGAAAACAATAGAATTTAGTTTTCCGAGAATGGATAGAATCAAATCAAACCTAGCAGCGTCTTCGAATTCCGGCCGGCGACAGAGATCTAGGGTTTCAGAGCCGTATTGAGTTACCTGCAGGCGCACCGGAGAAAGCAAAGAATATGAAATTATTGAAATTGGAAGAATCGAAGCTATGGATGAGAATATGAAATGATCGAAATGGGAGATGGGCCTTATTTTCAGTATGGGCTTTGTTTCATCATTCTCTTTTGGGCTGGGTTTACACAAATGTCCAATATATTTAGCCACTATTTAAATTTGGGCCCTTATTTTAAAAGTTGTGCAAATATATCCCTTGAAATTAATGATTTTCAAAAATGACTTTAGAGGTGGAGATCTTGAACTTTTGACCCCGCTTGTACATGAAGAATACATCAAGTTTAAACTTTTGATCTTAAAGGTTCACCCCTGAGTAAGCGGGAGAAAAAAATTCAAGATCACCCTTTGTTAAAGCCATTAAATGTAATTTCTTGTAAAACATTAGACAATAGTTTAAGGTTGAAATTTTTTTAGACCATGATCATATGTTTTCTCATAAGATCTTCAACTTGTTCAATTTTGTTCATGTAATCTAAAAGGTCTTTTTGAGAGGAATGTGTATCGAAACATTTCTCCTCTATGATGAAAGTAAGATTTACATATATTCTTCCCTCTCTAGATCTCACTTTATGGGACTATACTGAATATATTATTATTGTTATTGTTATCTAAAGGGTTCATAAATTATAAATGAAAGAAAGATAAAGATCATTTACTAAATAGTTTTTCAAAAAGAGATACCTACCAATAATTTCTTTCTTTCCTATTTTAAGGAGGAGATGATGGGGAGGTCCAATAAAGGATACTTTGTAATTGCTATTAATTACAAGCTCAACAAGGTTGGGCTTGTGAATAGTACAGAAAAAGTAGATAAAAAAAAGGAGACCTTTGCTAAGATTGTAACCTTATCCAACATATCAAGTGGGATTATTACTATGGAAATATAGTTTACCAAACTATGTACTATACATAATTATATTCAATTATTTTCTTGAGCAAGTGATGCTCTACACTTCAAGTGCACATGAGCCAAAACTAGTATAGTGGTAATCAATAATGGAGTACCATTAACCATATGTAATCATTCTTAACTATTTCAAATTTATCACACATAGTACAAAAAAAAGTAGCCAAGAGATAGATCTGGTTGCTTAATATTGAAGCAACAACTATAGGA